TCTGGAGGGGGGGCAAAAATAGCCCCCCCCCCCACCAGGTCGCGGGTTAACCCGCGCGGGGCTGGGGTCTCCGGCCGAACGCGCGGGGCTGGGGGGGGGGGTAAATTTTACCCCCCCCTGTTATCTCCCGAACTAATGGTCCGATTTGGAAAATTCAAACGCCAATCGAAAGCTCTCATCACGAACTACTAAAAACATGTACTTAATTTAAAGTTTGAGGTCAAGGTCAAGGTCAGGTCAAGGGTACAAATTGCAAGTTTCTACAGTATCGGCCTTACACCGTAGTTGCCGAAGAATGGAGTCATGGACTGAGACTGATCGCCCAAAACGTGTTCTTAGGCTACCAAGACAATATTCGTTGCATACAATATCATTCAGAGGTCAAGGTCAAGGTCAGGTCAGGTCAGGTCAGGTCACCAAAAACAAAATATAGAAAAGGGCATGTGCGACACATGTTTTATGGGTCATTTTACTCATAGAATTCAATAGGCACACTCAATAAGTGATATGGACCACCTCTGGATGAATTTCAGGTCGAGGTCAGGTCAAGGTCAGGTCAAGTGAGGTCAAATTTTGAAGTTGGTTGTTAAGGCCTAAAAAGGTGTCTATCTGATGCAGTTTTTCACGGCGAATCGAATGGTGCTATTTTTGTTTCCGTACGAGGTCTGGAACTTCCAAAAAAATCATTTTTCAAAAATTTTGTGTGTCGTGACGTCACAAAATTTTGAATAACTCCCACATTTTTGAACCGATTCTTCTAAAATTTGGTATGTAGGTGCACATAGACCACTTCTCTGACATATATTCCGGTTTTTTCGATAGACTCAAAATTTTGGATTTTATAATGATTTTCCCAAAAAAGTCAGTTTTTTGAAAAAATTTAGGCCAAAATCCAAAATTTTCAAAAAACCGAGATAGCCATTTGATAGAAAAAGTAAAATTACGTATAACCTTTTTTGTTACGTCTTGATTCCTTTAAAAATGAAGATGTTAGCGGCGTTTGAACTTTTGCCGTTTTTGAGGCGAACATGACGAACATGACGTCACTAAAACGTCAATTTCTCAAAAATTTTCCGACGGATTTCGCTCAAATTTTCAGGGAACGTGTCAAATTGATGTAAGAAAAGGTACTGAAAGTTTGGCGGCGCTGCGCGCCGCCGTTTTTGAGATATCGCAAAAAATCGCGAGGGGGGGTAAAATTTACCCCCCCCCAGCCCCGCGCGGGTTAAGCATGTCGAAATGATTTTCCAGGGCGCACCAGATCTCATGAAAATGAAAACACTTCCCAGTCATGAATAATAAGTGGAGCATGAAACGGTGATGAATGTGCCATCCCCGATGAACATGAAACATCGGAGATGTTTCCATGACATCAAGCGATTGCTTGAAACCATGAACGTTGAAAGCTGAATAGTGGCCTTTATAAAATATGTTAAAAATAATCGAACCGTTATAGCCAAATGAAGTAGACGAAAGAGGTTTCTGTTTTCACCACTGTTTTACAGCGAAGTCTAAATTTCAAGTAATAAAGTAGTTGCAAAAGCAATAATAATTCACGTCAGTTTTGATGAGCCATCTGTATTCAAAAGCACGTCTTGCGCCCATGAGCCGAGCCCAAAATGATCCCAGAGACACAGAAACGAACACTCTTCTGCAGTGAGCCCGTCTTTGTCGTCGCAACTTCCGCGAGCAATGAGCTTGAATCAATAATAAACGTTCCGATTCATTGAGCAGTGGATGGTGCCGACCCCCCCCCCCCCCCGACCGACCGACCGACGGGGGAGGGTGCCGATCGTTGGCGTGCGACTCGGAACTGCCATCGAGCGTCGGCTTCAATGTCGCACGTCACCAAGAGTCGATCATCGCCGACCGTCGCAGCCCTTCGCTTCCCAGCTGACAACGCAGTGGCATTTTCTAAATGAAATTTGAGTGTTACAAGACTACTCATAACTCACCCGGCTTTCAACTATTCCAGCCTACTAAGGCTGGGTGGGGAGGGGAGGCACTAGGCAAATCCGAGGTCATCCTTCAGTTGTCACAAATATAGAGAGCCATCAACGAACTACTTCCACAACCATAGCCGTTGCCAGGACCACAGCAGGTCCCATACCCCGAACCACACCCATCCAGCCATCGGGCCATCGACCCGTGTGCCTCCCATGACGTCAGAACTCACGTGTTGAACGGACAGAGACATTCCACGCCGAAATGGGAACTGGAACAAACATCAATGAACTGTCCGTCGATGGATGCATGCAGTGATGATGCATCGAAATCGACATTAAACCACAGCACCAGGCGAAGCAAGCCAATCAACGTTTCCGGGAAACGGTCCGGAGGTGGCGCCGACATCCAAGGTTCGACGTCATCATGTGACGTCATAATACAAAATACGTCATCCGTCAGCGGCAGGGGTGGGCGGCGGTCCGGTGGGGCGTTCCCACGGTGCCTGAGGCACACACCACGCCGGCGGCGCGTCGGTTGGTCGTGTCCGACGGTCGTTTCCCGGACACAGCTCGCACGCCCACCTCCTGAGCATTCGTCACGTCGCATACAGAAGCGTCCGTCCAGTCACCGGGCGGTCATGTAGGCGTATGGAATTATGCATGCTTATAAAGGTCGTATGCAATATGCATCCAATAAGTGCGTGAGTTGCGTTCAGGGTAATACAACATGCGTGGTGTGCAAGACCCACACCATCTAAAATTCAAAGTAAAACACAGCCAATATCATTAGACATCGCCGAGCAGAACACCAGTAGCCAGCATCACCACAGCACATCCCGAACACATCAGCCTCCCTGATAGCGTCAAACGCTGCCGCTCATCACACCGATCAGTGAGAACACGCAGCGGCAGCCAGTCGCCGACATTGGCTGTCAGCTGCGAACATCAAAAGCCGCCGACATCAAAAGGTCACCGATGGCAGGTCGGGGCTTTCCCCGCGGCTGGGGTCGGCCGATCTCCCAATAAACGCTCAGGGATGGTTGGTCATCAGAAGTTAGTCCGCCTATCTCAGCTCAGTAAATCTTGGCGGCAGAGGCGACGGACAACCAGTCGTCCTATCAGTCAGTCAAAGTTCCAAATATATACAGACGACGGTTGCACCAGCATACAGAGACCACTGACCACAGGTTCAGTGACCAGAAACACCCACCATATTCGGCTTCGGCTGGTTGTTACCGGGTCAGTTTGATTGAAATCGCGTGGGGTTGTAATTGGGTCGAGCTGGTTGGTTGCTGTCTGGTTGTTGTTTCGGTTCATTTGGTTGTTATATTCCAGTGCCTATGTTGTTATTGGGCTCGGTTGGTTGTAATTAGACCGAGTTGGTTGCAATCGTGTGGTGTTGATTGTCATTGGTCCGGGTTGCTCGAACCATATTGGGTCACCGTATTCCAGTTGAACCATACTGCCCATCTCCCACACACTAACCATTATCAGACGCGATTACCAATTACTAGAAACTCCCACATGACAGCTAACCAACAGCAGTTGGACAGCACCGTACACAGTACCCAGAGCCAATCGGCATTGTCATAGCTGGAACTAATGACATCCCATGTCGGTCAATGCCGAGTACCGATTAGCATCGGCAGACTCCTGACATGTCCCAGAAGGATCCACGACAGATCCCAGAAGGATCGACGATAGATCCTCGTCGGAATGGTCACGGATCAGCGATGGGCGATCCAATGGCTAACGAGTCAACATTGCGACGCGCGCTCTCATCGATCCGCTCGTCGGAAGGCGCCCTAAGTGGAGGAATAACGCGGGGAAACGGAGCCGCGTCGGCCGCGCGCGGGGTGAGGGCTGCACAAGTGCGCGAGGGACGAGCACGGTGCCAAGCAAATGCTATCTTATGGACGACGGCGGGTTCTTGGTAGCGTACTAGCATTCGATTGTATTGCACAATAAGTGTTGCCATGTGTTGCAACTGCCACATGTTGCAGTGGCCGTGTTTCATAACAATTCGACACTTTTATCAAAAGCAAAGAGCTTTTGAAGTTTTAAGTGTTAACGTGTTCCATAATAATTGATGCGCTTCAGGATAGCATGTCTAGTCTACCTCTCAAGTTCAATGAAACCTCCAACGAAGAATACTTGCAAACGCAAGCAACTATTTCCAACTTTCCATCGCGATCATTTTCGGAGCTCTCGGATATGGCACACAACGGAGAGTCGGCGAACGGACCACACCCAGATCCCACACGTAACTCCGCTAGGGCCGACCAGTAACTAGCCACGTCATCATCCGACCACAGAATCGACCCTCTCTCGCGGTCGGTCGGACACCGCCGAGCGGCGCCTGTGTGTCTGTCTGTGTGTCTGTCTGTGGGGCTGTCTATGGGTCAATGTGAGTCTGTGTGTGAATGTGGTATGGATGTATGTGTGTGCGTACGTATTCGTCTTTCTGTTGGTATGTCTGTCCGTTCGCTCATACGTGTGTCTGTGCGCTTGTGTGTCCGTCTATACCCCGCGTCTGTCTGACTGCATGTCTGTCTGTCCGTCTGTCTGTTAGCATATACCATTTCTTTATATCTATACGTCTGTCTGTCGTATACGTCTGTCTTATCAGTCTGCCCGTCAGTCTGTCTGTATGTCTGGTCGCCCGTGCCCGTGCATGTCTGTTCGCCTGCGCGTCTGTGTGCCCGTGTGTCTGTCCCAGTCCCCACGGGTCTCACACCAGGCTTCCCACGGCCCAGTACGGGCCTCTCACCAGTCCAGCGGCGAATGGGTCAGCGGTGGCCCACAAAACGGCGCGCTACACCGCTCGCACCTGGTGCCCATGTTCCTATAACACAGGGTGTGGCGAGCGAGAACTCCCCGCCTCCCGACTACCCACTGCCGAGCAGAGCTGCGTAGACCAGCCTCCCCCAACCCTAACACCACTGCCATCAACTTACCTGCCATCACCACCCCCGCCAGTCATCCCACCCTCTCCCCGGCGCCCAGCCACCACTCTACCCCACTCCACCAGCCCAGCGGGCCGGGAGGACCTACCGAAATAGCTGCGGCTCCTCGGCTCCTCCTCACGTCGGCTGCGACGGTCTCTGGGCGTTTCCCGACGGAGCGGGCCGCTCGGCGCGTCGGCGTCGACCCGGAACACCCTCCTTCGTCGTCGGCGACGGTGCGGCGACTGCTGCCGACGGCGGCGCGACGACGGCCGTCGGTCGGTCGCTCGGTCGATAGGGTCAGAGGCGGCGGCGGTGGCGGCCGCGGCCGGACCGCGGTCACGGCCGCCCCTGCTGACCTTGACCCGCCAGGTCACCGCCGGACGCGCACGGGTCACCGTCGAGACAGTGGCAGTTCAGGGCGGCGCACAGATCGCGGCCAGCTCTGAGTTGAAGTTTGAACAGCCGCAGGTCACGGTGGAGTTCCTACTTCCGTGCCTTGTTCACTCCACAGGTCGGGTTCAGATGTATGTCCTCAGGGACGGTTCACAGACACTCCGTCCACCGGCACACACCTGTGAAGAAAACAGAAAGGCTTGTTCAGATCTGGGTTCATTGAATCCGTTCCCAAGTTATCGCATCGGCTAACCGCGCCAGCCAACTGGGTCAAATTGAAATGTCCGTCGCTTCGGCAAAATGTGCAGTTCACCATAGCCGGTGGAGGGTCAACGAAGCCGACAATAGTTGGGTCGCTCCATAGCACGGGTTACAACTGCCGGAGTCATATCCAGAGATTGCCGTGTGCCGGCCGGCCGGCCCAGCGGCGCTTCCTGGTGATGACGTCACGCACGGTTTCCATGGCAACTGTGGGTCGCCAGCTGACCGGCGGGTCACCAGAGTTCCTCGTCAGTCCCGATAATGTTGCCACTTCTGTGAATCGCGGCTCATTATCAGGACCAGTGGCTAACAAGCTACGGGAACCGAACCGGGCAGAACATAGCGCAAGCAGATGTAGATAGAGATAGATGATGCAACTCATAGCGCGCATGAGAGTACCACGGACTCCAGATGTCAGTAAAAATGTTTGTAGTTTTCAAAACAAGTTAGAAGCTGCCTGCTTTAAAAACGCATGGCATAATGTAAAGTGGGTGTATGCTGGGTCAACACTTCGTTGTTGACTGTTACGTAAGCCGCTAAAATATAACTGAAAGTGAGTGAAAGGTTTCGTCAGCCCCTGTCACGGGTAAGCAGCTTCGGCCCGACATGTTCATTGTTGCTACCGCGGCAGATCTGGTTATTTTCAGCGATACACAGAAAAGCAATCCAATATCCCTGCCACGAGCTGCCATTGCCTGCGAACACACGGTAACACACGGCAGTGCCGTCGAAAGGAGCACGGCGGCCGGTGTAGGTTACAGAGGAAACAGACTGGTACTGGGGGCATTCAAATCAAACCGCTCACCCTAATTGAAACCGAGCCTTGACGGCGCCGACTCCTAACGAGTTGTATTCACCAAGTGCCCGCCACCTCTTGCCTATCGCCTATTGCCTTCCGTTACCTGCCTATCGCGGACGCCTACCACGCTCTTTGCCCACCGCCCACCGTCCAGCGCTCAGCGTGGCAGACAGCGGACGTCTGATTGAATCGCCGCGGCCCTCGCCGGCACCCATTCGGCTGATTCAGGCACCCGTTCGACCCTCCCCGTCGTTCTTTCGGCCCTCGCCGGGGCCGCCCTCACTAGCGCCCGTCTCGGCCCTCCCCGGCGCCCGTTCGGCTGATCGCTGCGCTCGGCGTGCACTGGGTCGGCCGCTACCGGCACGCCATCAGACTCACGCAGTGAGGAGCGAGGACAATCCAACACCACGGTAGCAGAGGGAGAGGGGGAGGAGGAGGAACACCAGCGGGTGGGGCGGTGGGGGAGGAACCGCAGCACCAGCAAGGGGACTGGGGTACCATCAGGTGGAGAAGGGACTGGAACACCAGCAAGCGCCCCGCTCCCTTGGGGAGGGGCTGGAGACGGAGGTATGGCGACCGGTTTGGACGGGCGTTGGTATTGTTAGATGGAAAAGAGCAGATGATCCAGTTAGAATTGCTCAAGTAGATGCAAGCAAGAGCCAAAATTCGGACAGAGGGACTGTATAAAACCATCAAGCTTTGACAAGCACATGCCAGGCAATAGGTAACCACAATTTAGGAATGGCTGGTTCGGTAGAGAATATCATATCTATGAAGTGCTTAGCAATATGCGAGGGTTAAGTTGGTTTTCGTCTCTGTCCTGTCATTCAAACTAAAACAGATCTACGTAGTCGAAACAACAAGAGGGTGGTAAAGGAGGCTTCGAGCGCGCGACATCCCTTCAAATACGAAATTTAAAGCCCGTTTTCCATGCTAAAAAAAAAAACTAACCGTTCTAAGCTACCTTCCCAAAGCTTCATATGAAGTGCGTGAAACTACTACTGAGTCTCCATTTTTAGTCGCAAGCAAAATTCAAACTGATTTTAAAGATATAAATGGTATGGGAATGGATATGGAGCTCCCAATGACGTCATTTATTCCCAGTGACGTCAACAAGCGGTGAGTTAAGTCGTGGCCGATCCCAGTGTGCTGGCCAATGAAACTTCTCTCGAACGATGTCGTTAAAGCGTACTTTTGTAGAATGACGGTTAAATCCTGCTCAATAAGCAGCCATTAAAACAGGCGGACGCCAGGGCTGTAAAATAATTTCATCATAAAGTTGTATGCCAACAGGCAACGAATAATCGTGGAATCAGGCAGTGCTCGAATACAGCCAATGATCATATGAAAATTTCGGCCATTGTTGCTGACAGCTATATAAGAATTTCAACACATTAAATTCTATTACCTCTTTGTGGCTCGAAAAGAAAAAAAAATGATGTTTCCCGACAATAAAACGAAAACTCAACAACATTTATAATAAAACTTTGTTTTGCTCTGCACAGCATTGCGTAAGAAATCGAAATTCGAGGAGTTTTTGAAATCTGGAGAAACTCTTACTTTACTATCTTGGAATGCAACCTTGGAATCTGGAGAAACTCTTACTAAACTCTGTCTCCCGCAGCGTCCAAGACCGCATTTTGGATCCGCCAGTCTGGATGTCTAAATAATATTCAGATCATGCAGACACTTGGTGGTTTTCAAACTTGTTCAGGCCTTATTAACAGTGAAATTAACGCCAACAAAACTCAGATTCACGCCTGGATGGATTTAGAGATACTGGGCAAATGGCAGCCGCTGATGGCCATCATCCCTCAACTCTTACCCTCACGCCAGTGACCTCGTCGCTGCCATCCCAGACACCAATCAATCAAGAATAGCGCAGTGTCCACATCACCACCGCCCACAACTTCCTCCGCACCATCCACTCCTACCACAGCTTGGCTCTCTCACTCCCTCACCCCACCCCTCCATCCTCTGGGAGGGGGGGGGGCGTCATGAGGTCGATGGAGTCGGCGTCACTCCAGCGCCCAGTCCCTGGCAACCGATCAGCGACGACCTGACCTGCCCCTGCGAGAGCGCGTGCCGCCCGGAGACGGATCCGGCTCGACGTGCCACCATTGTGGAGGCCGCTGCATTCACCGCGGCAGAGGCAGCAGTGGCAGCGCCTGCATGGCTTCACGGGCGTGACGATGTCCTTTGACAAGGTGATACTCACGAATGCTATTTGTCACATTTGTGCGAGGATGGTACACTCGGGGGCAGTTTGATGTTCCACCACTCCCTACCTATCGGGCTCCCATGGCTCAGCACTGCAGCTGCTGCCAGTGGCAGCACTGGCAGCACTGGCACTGGCAGGCAGTGCTGAGCAGTTCTGAGGGCAGGGAACACTGGCAGCAGCCAGTGCCGAGCCATGCGATCGCCCGATGGGTAGGGAGTGGTGGAACATCAATCTGCCCCCGAGTGTACTTACGAGAGAATTTTTCAGGGATTATGAGTCTGGATGAAGACAGGGTCAATACGAATCAAAGATCAAAGAATGGTGTGAGCGCATCGGTAATGTGTAGCAACTGGTAACACAAGTCGTGAGGTTGGATCCAGCGGTACAATGCATTACGTGTAATATCAAATCAGTGCTGGCCGACATCTGGTAATCTGTAGTTTGTGCTGAACAAGTGAAATGTAAAAATGCAGTTATTTGACATTGGCCATATCATACCGGGGGCAGTCATATTAACCCTCGCCCTGGCAGGGCATTTTTCATAACACGGCCTGGCAGGGGGGGGGGGGGTCGATGCGACCCCCCCCCTCGCAATTGGCTCCTATGGCATCTAGAAACACCAAATTTGGTAGGTAGGTGGGCCCCCTGGAGTTTTCGCCCCTGTGCAACTTTGGTTGCTCTAGGTCAATATTTAGGGGGGTTTTGGGGGGTATAAATGTAAAAATTTCGCTAAAAACAGGTCAAAAGTTTTTCGCTTATAACTTTTGATCTAGTTAAGATAGAGCAAAAAGAAAAGCACCAGTGAACTCAGCATGTCAAGGCGCGTCGAATGATATACTTTTTAGCTTGCTTAAGTGTACTCAAAGTTTTTCTTAAATTTTAAGTAAACTTAAATTAATAAATTAAGTTCAAGTTAACCAAATTGCATCATATTGCATATCATTCGATTCGGCTGATCACTAGGAACACAATGATACCATTTTTTAAGCTCTAGCTTCATTATGTGCCAAGTTATTGGCAAAAACGTCATTTGACCTCAGTTGACCTCATTTGACCTGACCCATGGGATAAGTACACCAAACAAAGAAGCACCAAGTGACCTGCTGTTAAGTACCGTGGTTTCAAAGCACAAAAGTGATAGAACGAAGCGGATATCTCCAGTATTTTCCGAATTTAGTATTTCCCCATAGGCTTAGCATTACGACGTAATGACCTCTAACTGACCTCAGGTCAGTGACCTCAAAAAAGCCGGACTATATGTTATACAAATCGGTGAACTTAGCATATCCTGAAAGTTTGAAGTAAATCAGTCGAAAACTGTGAGTTGGACAGGTGCAAAAAGAAAATTGAAATTTGACCATGACCTTGTACCGGTTTTTCTGACCTGGTGACCTGACCCAAGGTCACCCGGACCTGAAATTTTTCAGGTCATATGTAAAAAGGTTGCCCCATAGGCTGTGCCAAATTTGGCGGCGCTGCGCGCCGCCGTTTTTACGCTATCTTCGAAAAACCTTAGGGGGGGGTCGCATCGACCCCCCCCCCCCTGCCAGGGCGAGGGTTAATTAGTTTTTACTACTGATTCAAAGGAACGAGGCCACAGAAACTAATAAGTAAAGATCGGCAACCGTAGGCAATAGACATAATAGGTTTTCAGAATATTGCGGCTAGGAAAAGTTACATGTACAGGGTGATTTTTTTTAACTGTTAAAAAGTAAACGTCAATGGTGGTCCCTAAATCGAAAAATCGCGTGCAAAAAAGCAATGCACGTGACAGATAAATCTGGGACATTTTGTATGGTGTCATCATTTGTCCCTTTTCACCGACGGCCTCGGTCCCAATGGAGCCTGAAAATGTCCCACCAATCGGGCACGCATGATCCACTGCCGTTCAGTAAGGA